GGGGACAGCGGGGACAGCGGGGACAGCGGGGACACTCCCGCAGCGCGCTCTGCCCCCACCTGCCCCCTCCGCATCCCCCTCGGCAATGCGGGATGGGCAGAACCCTGCGAGAAGGCGCTGCCAGTGGTGCAGGTGTCGCCCTGAAAACTCAGCTTCTGAGCTTGCTGACATGGTTTTCTAAAGACTTTCCCAGGACAGTAACTGTAAACACAGATATGTGTACATTCCTTCTGTTACACGTCTTGTGATGAGCATCTCTCATGGCCAGTGCAGTGAGAAAGTGTTATCCTGACCATCCCATCCCTGGCCATGGTCAGAAACCTATAAATCCTGGGAGGGAAAATAAACTCTGCTCTTTCTTGCACCACACCTCCACCTGTGTCCGTGTGATCTATTCATCTTCAGCGGTAACATGTAGGATGGCAGAAAGCCCCTGAAATATGTTTGGGCAGAGCTGCCCGCTCCTGGGGACCTGCTGCCCGCGTTGGGGCCGAGCTCTGCCCTTGGCACAGAGAGCCGGAGCCACGGCGGGCACAGTGACACTGGTGTCACCACACCTGTGTGCGCCCTGCCTGCCGGCGGGAGGGAATCTGGGTTCAGGGACTCCCGGGAAGGGGTCGGGAAGGAGGGAGACTTCTCTCAGCAGGGCAGGGTTCGGACAGAACCGCAGCTCCAGAGGTTTTTTTGCTCCTCGTGGCCGGAAGGCAGCGAGCCCACACAGCTCGAGCTGCCAGGGTGATTAGCAGCAATTAATTACAGATGAGCAGCAGCCACCGTCTGCTGTCCAAGTGTCTGGCAGCTTCAGGGCTTCTCAGGGGATAGATGGAGAAGCAGATTCCTGCTGGAGGAGGATGAGGATGGAGAGCTGTCCCGAGCCACGCTCCAGGCGTGTTCCCCACCTTTGGCACCAATGCACATCCCTGCAGCCCTGGGCTGACGCTGAGGGGCTGCTCCCCCCACCTCGTGCCCCGGCCCTCCAGCAGAGATGTGCCAAAACCCCGTGCGAGCCTTCCTCCTGGAGAGCCGCGGGAGGAACCCGCGGCCGGGCCGGTGAGAGGCTGGGCCACCCGGCTGATTTTGGGCTGGTGTTCTGATCACACAGCAGCGGGTGCAGCTCTGCCCAGCCCCTGCCGTGGGGACACAGGGGTGGCAGGTTTGTGTGGGGCTGGAGACCCCCATCCTGCCGGAGCCCCGGGCCCACCAGGGCTGCTCCCTCCCGTTACTTAACAGCACGGCAGTAATTCCTGGCAGGCGTGGAGGTGCCTGTCTCCCGATTAATGCCATCCATGCCGCTTAATCCGGATCAGGGGAGGAAGACCTGGAGCTCTGAGGGGCTTTGGGAAATCAGCAGGGCCTGCTCTGTTTATGTAAGGTGGCTGTGGTGTGCAGTGCCAGAGGCAGAGCTGGGACCGTGCCAGCACCTGGGAGCTCTGCTGGCACCTGGGCACAGGTGAGGTTGGGAAGGCAACGTGGGCTCACAGGGGCCAGACTGCTGGGGGCTCTGGCTGCAGCAAGGCTCCCCCCAGAGCCCGTGGGTGCAGGAAGCACCATGGCCCTTCCCTGGGAAGGCAGGATGCTCCAGGGCACTGTCCACTGAGACAGGGATGAAGCCAGGCCCCACCATGCTCCACCAGCCTCATATCCAGCAGTGTCCTGCCCCTCTGGAAGCGGCTGTTTGAGCAGTGCTTCACACACTGCTTGTACCTGGAGGGATGGTGGGATGAGAGGAACCTCTGGCCATTCATTACAGATGTAAAAAGGAAGAAGGTTTCTTTCATTTCCCTATTATTTTGAACTCTGCTTCCTTTCCCCGGTGCTTGGCTTGGACAAGCACTGGAGCACAGTGTGAGTGTGGGAAGGGATGTGGGCTCTGCCCATCTCCCCACTGTTTTAGGGAGGGGAATTATCTGCCCCCCAACTTGAACAAGGTTGAACCCACCCAGCTGGGATTAGGCTGAGCTGGAGGGACCCATGATGAGCCCTGCTCTCTGCCTCACCACACTGTGCAGACCCTGCAGTGCCAGTGAGTGGCCCCAGGCACAGGGCACTCATTAAGACCGTAAGAGCCACAAACAAAGCTCAGGATTAAGTGCCCCGGGCACAGTGCTGGGGGGCCTGGCCAGGCTGAGGGTGTCCAAGTGTCCAACTCCCTCCTCCTCCTCCTCCTCCTCTTTCACCTGCCAGTGTGAAGGTCACAGTTCACGTGTCCCCCTGACTGTGGCAGAAATAGCGGCCGTTAATCTGGAACCTAAGCTGCTCTCCTGTGTGCAATTAAAGAGATCACAAGTCCTGGCCCCAGGGAACGTGGCATGGCATGGCATGGCAGCTCCCAGTGGGGAACGGGTGAGCTGTGTTTGGGAGGAATTGGTACCCAGATGATAAATGTTGTTGAGATGATGCAGGGTCCTGGGAGGAGGCACAGCCCCTCCAGGGGTATCCTGATCCCAGTGCTCAGCTCTGGAGGTTGAGTCAGAACCAAAGTGCAGCCGCAAAGGAAGGTCTTGGGTGATGGTGTGGGTGAGGAGGATGAGTGGGGCCTTGCTGGAGCAGTTTGTTGCTGCCCTGGGCTGTCCTTGTGCCCCATCCCTAGATCCAGCCCCACAGCCATTCCCACAGGAGGGTTTCCCACTCAACAGCTGTGGCTGGGACAATGTTGCAGTGGGAATTCTGCTTGCCTGGCAGCCATAAGGTAGAGCCACTTTGGGCTTTCCACAGTCTTCTCTTTGCTGCAGCAGACCTGGAGTTAATGATGCACTAATTGGGTCAGGCGAAGCCAGCCTGGGAGTTATGAAATGATGCTGGGCTGAGCAGGCTGTGCTGGGGACAATGGCAGCTCTGTGTCCCACCCCTAGGGGTGGCTGCTCTTTCCCTCATGGTTCAGGGAGGGTGAATCCTGCCCTCACCTCATCATCTTGCACAGCAGTGTCCCCACAAAGAAGGTGTCCTGTGTGCCCTGGGCCATGGCAGGTCACTTCTAGGTGACCAACCACATGGGCATGTTGGCCATGCAGGAAGCTGCTTGTGCCTCCATCCTTCTGTTATCCAGCCAGGAAGGTGAGGGAGAGCTCCAGGCTGGTCCCTCCTTCTCTGCCATCTCCATCCTACCCCAGGCCCAGCCCATCTCCCCTTGCCATGGGAGCAGCAGCAGAGAGACCCTGTGGGAATCCACACCCCTTCCCACCAGGAGCAGAGCTTCCACCTCAATTACCATCACCTTGCTCCTAAGCCCACTTTGCCAATCCCTCTAAGCTGCTTTCCCAGGGCTCCAGCAAGAGATTTATTTATAGCCCACTCTTACTCATGAAGCGTCTCCCCAATTAATCAACTAATAGGATTCTTCCCGCAAGTCCCTCTCCCTGGAGCACTCCCACAGACACACACCCCCTGCAGCCCCGCCGAGGCTGAGTGGGCGAGATCAGATGCCAGGGGAGGGACAGCCAGGGGGGATATAAGAAGCTGCAGGACTGGGAGCAGCCCGTAGTGACAGGGTGGCACTGGGACGTGCTGGGAGAGGAAGAGGAGAACATCTGTCTGTCCATCCACCTGCCAGGTGAGCGCTGCCAGGGCCCTGCCAGGGCTGCAGGGTTCTGAGGGTTTGGAAAAAAGGGCAGGGACACTGGTGCTGGGTTGTGGCTGGAAGGAGGGTGGTTTGCAGACAAAAAATGGGGAAAATGTGGACACAAAGAATTCCAGCAGCAGAGGGGTCGGGTAGTGGCGTGGGACAGATGGGCCAAGCCAGGGAGGGTCTGAGTCTCCTCTTTGGGGCTTTGAGCAGGAGTTCAGCTCTTCTCCCCTCCACCTTTCATTGCCTCATCCCCAATTCCTGCAATCTGGAGAGAGCCAAACTCTGCTCCCACTCCCTTTGCATCTTCTCACCCTGAGAGGATTCCCAAACTTCTCATCCCACAGCACCCAAGGGCCTCAAAGATCCTGATCTTGGCACTCATCTTCCTGTGGGGAAGAGAATCACCCCCTCACCCCCATGGCCATTTCCTCTCTCTCACCAACATCCCTGAGGTTGTGTTCAAAGGCAACTCTGTCCACGTGCCCCTGGGGCTTAAAATCCTGCCTGGGCTTAAGCTGTGCTCATGTCAGAGCTGTCTATCCCTAAGAGGCTGAGCTCATCCCATTTAATATCCCGGAGAATCAGCTGGTGATCAGTGGGATCTTTACAGGTTCCTTCTGGACACAGGCTCGAGCCAGTAGAGCTTGGGCAGGGCTGGGCAGCTCCAGCCCCACTCCCAGCACAAAGGGATGGGGAGGGAAGGACCCTGTGTCCTGAGACCCCTCTTTCCATGGGGCAGTTGAGTTTCCCCTGACCTTTCTCCCTGTGTTTTCCTCATCATCCTGTGAGTGACAAGACAAAACAAGCCCATTCCTACCACTTAGTTGCGACAGCTAATTTCCAGCAGACAGGAAAAACTATTAAAATTGAGACTCTGTAAGGTCTTTTGTTCATTTTCTTGCCTTTCCTGGCCTTGAACCTGTTCCATTGGGAATCACCCCATGCTTACTCTTTTCTGGAGCATTTTCATTCTCCCCCTTTCTCTCTCCCACTTCATCACCTTTTTGGCTGGGAACAAGGAGCTGGCTCAGCTCCCATGTGCCACCCCAAAGCCAAACCTGGAGCTCCTGAGCTCTGCAAAAGTGGCAGTGCCATATCCTGAGGGCTCTGCAGTTGGTTGGGATGTGCAGGATGTTGGATGGTGGCCATGGCTGGGGTTGTCTCTTTCCCAGCACCTCATCCAGCACTTTCCCTGTTTCACCCCACAGATTTCCACCTGGAGATTCCTGCACTGACTTAAAATGGCAGAGGGATCAAAGTAAGTATCTTTATTGATTTATTTATCTGGAACTGAGATGAAGCAGGGCACTGCAGGGCAGGAGCAGAGTGGGAAAGTGAGACCCCAGCTCAACTCAGCTGCTGCTCCCAGGAGCTGGAACGTGAGCTCCCATGGAGCTGTCACAGAGCTCTATGCTGGTCCTTCTCACTTGCCCTTAAGACACAAAATCCATTCACTCCTCCATGGTCACCCTGAGCTCAGGAGCACATCTGGGGTAGCCACACAGGGTGGGTTTGGCCCTGAATCTGCAGGACATGGAATTCCCTGGGGGCAGGACGCTCTGGCGTAGATCTTGGTGATGCACTGCATTTGTAGGGCAGCCCATCATCTCCCATCCAGCCCTGTCCAAGGTGATCCTGAGCATCCATCTCTGCTTTCTCCACAGGGTTTTCAAGAAGACCAGCCCCAACAGCAAGGTGAGTCTCTGTGCCCTGTCCCCTGGTGTGGCCAGCCCAAGGTTTGGGCTGTGCTGGGATCCCTCCGGGCTGGGTCTGCCTTCCCTTTGAAATCTGATTGATTCCTGGACCTGCCACCATGCCACTGCAGGACTGGCTTTTCAAAACAGAAATTAAAAAACACCCTGATATGACCCCTTAAGGGTAATTCTGGTCCAGCCTGGTGACAAACCCCACGACACAACTCAGGGCTTCGAAATTTGGGCCAATTCAATGGCAAACATTAACTTGCTTCTTTCCTCCCTTTCCCCGTGTGCTGCTTCCAGCTCTCCCTCTACCTGGGGAAGAGAGACTATGTGGATAATGTGGATTCAGTGGAATCTGTAGGTGAGTGGGGCTGTGCCCAGCACTGAGGGGGAAGCACAGGCAGGAGAAGCTGGGGATACCAGTCCCAGTGTTGTGGGCTGCTGGCAGAGCAGGAGGAGCAGCTCTGGAGGAGCAAATGCCTTGTTTTCCTGCAAATATACTTAGGAAAAATAGTGGGGAAAGGGGCAAAGTCCCTTTGCAAAACAATCCAGCCACACTGCTGGTAGAGACACTGGAGGAGGCATCACATCCTCCTTGGCAGCAGCTCCTCTCAGTCAGTGGATTATTTGGGTTTAAAAAGCTGTGTTTTAGCAAACATCTTCCACAGGCAGCTGAGCTCACCGGTCCTTCTTTTGCTTGTTTGCAGATGGTGTCTGCCTGATCGACCCTGAGTACCTAAAGGACAGGAAAGGTATTGATACAGAAATACAGCATGAGGGGAGGGGGTGGAACCAGCTCAAAGCTCAGCAGCAACCTGGGACTGTGCTCAGGTTAAAGCTGCCCCGTGTCACCTACACTCACTGTCTGTCGGGGCCACAGCAGCAAAGGACGTGAGGGATCCTGTTTATATTTAGTGTTGAGGTCCTGAGAAGTCTCATTTCTGCTGAAGAGTTTTTGAAATTACATCTTTCTTCACCCCTTGTGCCTCCCCTACCTCCCACCCCTCCCGTTGTCCCTCTCCTGCCTGGCTCAGTGTATGTGACGCTGACCTGCGCCTTCCGCTACGGCCGCGATGACCTCGACGTGATCGGCCTGACCTTCAGGAAGGACATCTACGTGCTGACCACCCAGCTGTACCCTCCTGTGCCGGACCAGGCCCCCAAAACCCTCACTCCTCTGCAGGAGAAGCTGATGAAGAAGCTTGGGGAGAACGCCTACCCCTTTACCTTCGAGGTAGGGCGTGCTCAGCCCCTCCCGGCCACACAGCTCCATGGTGTCACCAGGGCTCAGCTCTGAACATGCCCTTTATTCCCCTTTTTCTCTCTTTCCCTGCTCTGCCCAGATTGCCACCAACCTGCCCTGCTCCATCACCCTCCAGCCAGGGCCAGATGATGTGGGAAAGGTGAGCTGCTGTCCCCAACCTGTGTCCTCTGGACTGTCCTCCGTGGTAGGGGGTTGAGTTGTGGGGTGCTAAAATTGAGAATTGATTCTCATGGCCCATGGGGTGAGGGGTGGGAAGGGAGGACGGCTGGAGTCAGCACTAGGATCTCTGGGAATGCAGTGGGGGAAGGAAGGAAGGAAGAAAAGGAACCTAAAGGTCAGGCAGCTCTGAGCCCTTCCTGCTCAGTGACCATTTGTCTTCCTCCAGGCCTGTGGTGTGGACTTCGAGGTCAAAGGATTTTGTGCTGAAAATCTGGAGGAGAAAATTCACAAGAGGTATTTTCAGGGGATCCCTTTCCCACCTTTTTGGCCCTAAAACTAAACCACAGGATCTTTTTGGGGTGACCAGCTTAGGGGTCAGGTTGAGGACCTTCTGTCAGCCTGTGTGTGGATGGGGAACTCTGCCCAAAATTGGGGCAGTGGTCCCTGTGTCACAACCTAAGAGCCAGCTGAAATGTTCACCCTTTGGCTGGAGACACTGTGGTGTCCCCAAAGAATCCCTGTGACCCCTTGAAGGCCGTGTTGATGCTGTGGGGGACACTGGGGGTGTCACCTCTGCCCCCACAGGAACTCCGTGCGCCTCATCATCCGCAAGGTCCAGTTCGCCCCAGCGCAGACGGGGCCGGCCCCGAGAGCCGAGACCACCCGGCAGTTCATGATGTCAGACAAACCTCTGCACCTCGAAGCTTCCCTGGACAAGGAGGTCAGCAGGGACACTGTCCCCTCCAGGGACGGGGACCAGGATTTCTGGTCACATCACCGAGCCTTTTCCCATTGCAGATCTACTACCACGGAGACCCCATCAATGTGACCGTCAACATCAACAACACCACCAACAAGGTTGTGAAAAAAATTAAGATCTCAGGTGAGAGAGGGGCAGAAGGGACATGTCCCAGCAGTCATCACTGCCAGATATGGGGACCATGAGCCTCTGCCATGTCACCAACACGGCTCCCCCTTTTCTGTCCCCAGTGGATCAGATCACAGACGTGGTCCTGTATTCCCTGGATAAATACACGAAGACTGTGTGCAGCGAGGAGATCAAGTAAGGGACAAAGGGCTGGAGGTGATGTGGCATTTCTGAGAGGGAGAAAGAGAAATGAGGAAGAGGAGGAGGATGAGAGAGTGAGGGGGAGAGAGGATGTGACAGTTTTACACCAAGCAGCAAAAATCAGGTGCAGAGGACAGGGAAGGCCGTGGACAAGTCCCCACCAGCACAAGCCAGAGGTGGCTGGGAAGGTCCCTGGGGAAGGTGCACAGCTGCTCCCAGGCTTCTTCATCTCCTCACTTTGCATTTTTGAGGCCAGACACAGCCTCTGCCCCACTGAACAAGCAGGGAGGGAGCAAAGGCGGGAGGGAGAAAAAAAGAAGTGGTTATAGAGGGGAAAGAGAGGAGGGAACGAAAGGAGGAAATGGCCCAGCAGCTGCATGGGGAGGGCTGGCCCTGCACAGGTACCTGCAGTGATGCTGAGCACCCCCAGGCTGGGGCTGGCTCTGACCTCTTCTCTCCCACCCTTCCAGTGAGACTGTGGCTGCCAATTCCACCTTCACCAAAACGTACTCAGTGACCCCCCTGCTCTCATCTAACCGCCAGAAGCGAGGCCTCGCTCTCGATGGCAAACTCAAGCATGAGGACACCAACCTGGCCTCCACCACCATGTAGGAGCTCCCCCTGCTCCCCACCACACCTTCCTCCACTTCTCCCTGCTCAGGATGCTCTGGGCTCCCACCAAGGGCCCCTGAGCCCACCCCGTCCTGCTGGAAAATGTAGGGATTTTGTGACATTGTCACAGACCCACATCTCCATCCCGTAGGAGAGATGTAGCTTTGTTGTCCAAAGCTCCTGGATCCCTCTGCAGGGCTGGGCCTTGTCTTGGAAGAGGCCTCCAGAAGCTCCTGTGTGGTTTCACCCAAGTGCTCTCCCCTCCCTTCTGTTTTCCTCTCCTGCTAAACCCAGTGCATCCCACATGTTGCAGGACACAGATAAACCCTGGGAACTGCCATGGAGGGAGTGGATGGGGTCTGCAGGCAGCACTGCCCTCTCACTGTCCCCCTCTGCCTTTTTCCTAGCCTGAGACCTGGCATGGACAAGGAGGTGCTGGGCATCCTGGTGTCCTACAAAGTGAAGGTCAACCTGGTGGTGTCTCGAGGAGGGTGAGGCTCCGTGGGCATGGGAATTGGGGATCATCAGCTCAGGCTGTGCTGGGGGATTCTGTACCCCGGGGAAATGAGAGGGCACTCACACCATGGGCCCCCTCTTCCCTGCCCTGCTCCCCTGGGGTCACTGGGCTGCTCTCTGACCCTCACCCCACCATCCCTATTATCAACCAACTTCCACCTCAGTATAAAGCACAGTCTAACACCTCCCCTCCTCTGCCTTGGCTCATTTCTGTCCCTTCTCTCCTGCTGCCACAGCATCCTGGGGGATCTCACTGCCAGGTAAGGGGAGCTGCCTGTGGGGCTGAGCGTGGGGCTGTGCTGGGCAGGATCCTTGACAGAGCTGCTTTTCATTCCAGTGATGTTGGGGTGGAGATGCCCGTCATCCTCATGCACCCGAAGCCTGATGACTGTGAGTTGTGTGTGGGATGCTGCCGAAAATCAGTGGGGAAGAGGCACTTCTGGTTCAGGGGGGAGCTGGTGAAAACAACTCTGCTGCAGCTGCCCCAGTGCCAAGGGTCCTGCTCTGCCCTCTGTGGGATGGGCACAGCTGTCCAGCTGTCCTGGAGCAGGGTGGGAGCAGTTTTCCCATGGGATGGGCACAGCTGTCCAGCTGTGCTGCACCGCTGCTGTGTCCTGGAGCAGTGTGGGAGATATCCTCCCCATAGCACCATTCCCACTGTCCCTCTTTCCAGAAAAATGCCCTCAAGCATTGAGGAGAGCTCTCAGTGAAATGTCCTTTCTGTATTAACCTGCACATCTTTTCTCTCCCCATCCATTTCTCCCTGTGCTTAACACTGGAATACAGCTAAGCCAAGGTAAAGAGATGTTCCCTCTAACACACAAACCACATAGATACATCACAGATGGATGTGACATCCCAGCTCAAGGTCACATCCATGGATTAAACCACCCAGGTGTCAAAGCTCTGAGTCTGTGTCACAGCAGCCACTCCCAGAGGTAGCAGGAAAGATCAAATCCTGGGACTGGGATGTGTTCTGCAAACTTCCAGGGCTTATTTGACAGCTCCCCTTGCTGCAGCCACAGCAGCTGCAAGCCCAGGCCTCACCCTGTCCCTAAGAAGCATCTGTCAGTATCATCCAGCCACAAGTGCCATCACTGGACAAAATGTCTCCATGGTCTTGGTCCCTGCACAGAGATCCCTGGGCTGCTGGAAGTCACATCCCTGTGCCCCTGCACATTCCCCAGCACCAGAGGCCTCTTCTCCTCCCAAATCAGCTTATCCCAGCTGAAGCCACAGCTGGGGCTGCTTCCCAGTGCCAAATCCATTCCTGACAGCCATGGCCCTGCCAAAGGTTTTGTGGCTGGTTACACCCTGCAACATGATGTGGGCACTGGGATTTGGGGCATGGAAAACCAGGCTGTAGCTCCAGGCTTTCACACTTATCCCATTCACACCATCCCTTTCCCAGCTCAGTGAGAACATTTTAACTTCCAAAGAGGAAATCTCTTGGTCTGTGCCCACCATGGCCCCATGTAGGTTTTTCCAAATCATTTCACATTCACAAGCTTTTGGAATGTCTTTTGCTGACTCTTTTTTACTGTTTTCTCCCCTACTTTTCACTTTGTGCTCTCCCTTGCTGTCACTCACTGCCCGCCTTTCTCAAGGAGGTAACCCAGCTCTTTGTTTTCCTTTCCTTGTTTTCCCTTGGAAATGCAAAATATTGTGTAAAAAGCCACCAGAAGCTGCAGGCCCAGGTCCTTGGTGGGGCCTGGGTTTGTGTGCAGTGTTCTGAGTGGGGTGACAGGGATGGGGTGACCACTGCTCTGTCCCCATTTGGAGCAGGGTTTGGGCTCAGCAGGGATTTCCCCTCCTCCTGTGGCCTCACTGTGCTCTGCTCTCCCTTCCAGCGAGGAGGACATTGTCATCGAGGAATTTGCTCGCCAGAAGCTCAAGGGAGAGAAGGATGATGAAGACGAGAAGGAGGAACCTGAAAAAGAGGAGAGCTAAGCTGCCGGCCCCCCACGCCCCAGTTTGGGACGCAGCCACCTGTAGTGTCCCCACTGTCCCACACCTCCCACACCTGGCACAGCCTCTCAGCCCCTCACGCTCCCCATAGGTCCCCCCTCCTCCCCAGGCTCCTGGCACCTACTCCAAGCCCTGCTAGTGGTGGTGAGAGCTGTTGCAGCTCCTCCTGGGACCGACACGCTGGAAAGCCCCACGGTGCTCCCTGTTCCCATGGGTGCCAGGACAAGGACAGGGCAGGTGTGATGGCCCCAGCCAAGTGCATCACCAGCGTGGCTGTCACCTGCCCGTGCTGTGCACAGCTCTGTGACATTGATACCAATAAACCCACCCGGTGGCCCGGTGCAGGCTCCGTGTTGTGCTGGGGAGGGGAGCAGACGGTGCCTTTGTGCAGGAGGGCATGAGGTGATGCAGGACCTGGTGCAGCCAGTCCCGGCCGGGCCCAGCCAAGATACGGCTGGATGCATCCTGCTACAGCTGGGTCCAATCCCAGTACACCCACCCCTGGTACAGCCAGACCCATTCTGCTGCAACCACCCCCGCTCCAGAGGGCTCCAGCCAAGCTACAGCCGGGTGCGTCCCGCTACAGCCCGGGCACACCCCGCTACAAGCCGCAGCATCCTCGCCCCGGAGGCCGCCCTGTCGCCACGGCAACCGCCCTCCCCATCACCGTGGCAACCCTCTCCCGTCGCCATAGCAACCGCCCTCCCCGGCAGCACGGCCCCCGCCCTCGCCGTTGCCATGGAGGGCGGTTGCTANTCTTTCAGAATAAAACAGAAAAGGAATAAAAAATGAGGCATGCATACCAATCAGCGTGTTTCATAACTACGTCTCTGTGACAAAGCCAAATCCCCGTAAAGCTGCAGTTTGCTTTTAATCTGTTTTGGCAACTGCGAATTTCTGAGTTTGCTGAACTCGAGATTATATCAACTTTTCAGTGTTCTTTCTTTACAGATTTCTGCCATTCTTCTGTTAATTCTAAGTAAATAATAAGAAAAACAAGACTTTTTTTTTTTTTTTACTAGAGGAGGATGGAGGATTATGCAAACGTGTAGAAAAGGCGTCTTCTGGCAGCCTTTTAAGTAGCACGAAAATGTATCCTGGCACTCGGTTGTTGTGCTAAAAGAAGTATTACTCCTTGTAGTTCCCATTCGATTCAATGCAAATTTTCTTATTGACTTTATTTATCAGGTTGGGGAACCGTCATCATTTTTTAAAAAAAAAAAAAAAAAAAAAGGTAGGAATCTAGTACTTTCCAATTTACTCTTATCAGCTCGAAGCATTCCCAATTACGGCAAATCGTTTAGCTTAAGCTTCTTTATTATTCTCCCTGCACTCTGGTATTTTCTGGTATACATCTGCTGGGGTGGGTCTCGATGAAAATATGACACAAAAACTACAAATTATTTTCCTGCCAGGGTGACGTAAACGATCATTCCTAGCACGGTTCACGTGACAAGCGAAACCTCGGGATTATGAAGCTCCCGCTCCTTCCCGAAGCCGGCGCGGGGGCTCCCGGCGGCTGCGCTGCCCCCAGGCCGCGGCCTCCCTCCCTCACAGCCGCGGGGGTTTTGTTTTGCCTCAAAGGGCTTCCCTTTTGTGCTCCTTCCCTGGGAATAGACGGATGAGTTGTGTGTTTTCCTTGGAATCGTGGTGTGGTCTCGCTGGGAGTGCCCAGGGCCCGGTGGATGGGGCTTGGAGCCACCTGGGCTGTGGAAGGTGTCCCTGCCCACGACAGGGGTGGAACTGGATGTGCTTTAAGGTCCCTTCCCACCCAAACAATCGCGGGGTTGTCGCTCCTCGCCTTCTCCTCGAGCCCGGAACTGGAGGTCTTGGAGGGATTTCCAGAAGTTTTCTAATTTCCCAGCCTTTCCAATGCAGGATTGACATAGCTGCTGATAGACATTTTTCCAATCTGTTTTTAACCCTCTCCAATGTTCATAATTTTGCAACTTTTTTAGGCAATTTATTCATCTTTCCTCTTCTATCTGTGTCCCTTAAATTTTTCTCAGCTTCCTGATCAAGAATTAGAGCTTTATCTTTGTTTTTCACTTCTTGTCAGTTCTGCACTTTCTCTTGATCATATTTGGAGATGTAAATTTAAAGTTTTGAAACAAACCACCAGAGTTTTCTCTGTATCTAGAATCTTGTTACAGAGGAAGGATGGGAGTGTGGAATGTTGCTTTTCCACGCAGCCAGCGGCAGCAGAACAGCATCTGGGATATCAACTGCTTTGTTTTGATGTTTATGTCCCAGACTTGGGGATTACATAAGGAGCAGAACAGGGTAACAAAGCAGATTTATTGTTTGCCCAAAGCAAACAACCAGGTCTTTGTTATCAACACACCTGATTTGAGAGCCAGGTTATCACCATGATTCATTTTGGACCTGCAGAGATTGATCTGCCTCTGTCATTTTGGGACTGAAATTTCCAGCTGGCTGTTTCCCAGGAAGGTGTAGCTGGAATGGCCTGAGATTGGCAGCTGCTGTCAGATCAGTGCCACTCCCAAAGCAGTGCTAATTTTTTTTTTTCCCACTGCTGCTTGAAAGTAATTTTTCTCTTCTCTTGTAGTTGGGAAGACCTCCCTGATCACCAGGTTTATGTATGACAGTTTTGACAATACTTACCAGGTATGTGATACTATTTATTTGCTTTTTAAATATGTATTTTTGGATAAATGTATGCTCTGCTGTTCAGATAGATTGCTGTGAGTCCGTATCTCCATGAGATGCCACTTCAAGATCTGATAAGAGGTTAAAATGTGCTGTGAGATGAAGCTTCATGATTAAATCAAAGCATCCAGTGTGATGTCAGGAAGTGCAGTGTCCAGAAAGGCAGCAAGGCTTAGATCCCCTTTGGATGTGGGATAGAGCCTGTGAAAAGCCTTGAGGAAAATGGGGAGAGCATTGTTTTATGATGGGAAGATGATGGTCAGGATTTCTGGTGATGAATATGGGAGCCTCAGGAAATGGAGAAATGAATAAAAACCCAACATCTTCTGACATTCTTAGTCTCTGTTATCTTTAGAGCTTCCATTTCAGTTGGAATAGTTGAGTCTGGAGTGTGTAGATGGATCTGCCAGAAGTCAGCTTGGTATATTTTGTCTCTCAATTTTTTTATTACTATTTTTTGACTAAAGGACTAAAGATAGGAAAAGCCAAGGAAGTCTTGGCAGGCAAAGAGGGGGGTGGGGATGAAGAGGCTGCAGATGAAAAGCAGAAGATGTGTAAGAGGCCTGAAGGTTTGGGGAAGAATTAATTGCATCAAAGGCACTCAGAGGTATTTCATGGGAATATCAAATATCTGTAAAGCAGATGAGATTAGGGCTTTATCTTTTAATTCAGCCTGGAAGAGTTACTGGTTTAGATTGGGGTGATTTGAAGTCGAGGACAAGTCACTCACTGGAATGGGATCCTCTTGTGCTTCCTGTGGTTTTTCTTCTCCTGTGCTTCCTTTCTTTTCTTGACTCTTGTAAGATGCTCTCATGGATTTATTTATTTCTTTTTGTAGTTGTTAGAAATCATGACCTGGTTGGAGAATAGACCTCCCAGAAATAAATTCTCCCTCCCAAAACTGACTGTGTTGCACTTTGCCACTTAGCCAGTGGTACACATTCAGCTGTTTGTGTTAAGAGTGGGGATAATTTGCCTAAAACACTCAAATCTCTTGCATCAGGAGCTCTCCTCTTTCCTGGGATTCTGATGGGCTGGGACAGCTCCTTGATTGAAGTGCCTGGGAGTGTACCTGACTTAGTGCATTATTTTAAATGCCTTTGTGCTGGAATTGCTGTAGGAATGGGAATGGGAGTGGATGCAGACCTGCCTGGGAAATGAAGCTGCTGAATGTCACTGCAAGGGAAGCACATTCTGAAGTGGAAAGGCCTGGATAAACACAGCTTTTTAGCTTTCATTTGCCCATATTTTATAGGTCTCATGTGTTCTACCTTTGGGGTATTTCTAACAAATGAATTCTTACCAGACTGAATTGCAGCTGGCCAGAAGGAGCTGCCAGCTCAGATAGAATCTGTGGAGATGGAGGAATATCTGAGGTTAAAATCTAGACTCAGAGGTTCTTGTGGAGCTGAGAGGTGTTGAAGAATGCTGTGAAATGGAGCTGGTGCAGATCCACAGATTGCTTTGTTTTTATCACCTCAGTTGAAGGCAAATCACTTCACCAGCTTCATAACAAGTTTGTGAACATTTCTGAGAGTTTGTGCAGAAGGGGGATGCTGGAAGGCGACTCACAGCTCCTTAATGCTTCTCCTCTTTCCAGGCAACCATTGGAATTGATTTCCTGTCCAAAACAATGTACCTGGAGGACCGCACGGTGAGTGGGGCAGGGGTGGGGTGGCTGGGAGGGCTCTTCCCCCTGGCCCTTCCTCCAGCAGCTGCTGGAATCCCCCAGCAGCCTCCAGAGAGCCATCCTTGGTTGAATCTCATCACTGGTACAAGATCTGATACCTCTCTCAGGAAGTCAAAGTCTTCCATGGAAAATTGGGGCTGGATAATGGCCACATCCCAGGGAATGTGCTGCGTTGTGTGGAGCTGCTTTAGGTGCAGTTTGCTCCCTGAATTTGCAGCTCTGCCTCTGGGATTGTCAGGATGAAAAGGGCTGAGCAGACCTCAGGTACCACAGAATATTCTGAGCTGGGAAGGACCCACGTGGCTCATCCAGTGCAGTTCCTGAAGCCAGTAAAAAGCCAAAGAGTTGATGTTCCAAGTCTTGAAGTCCTCCGTGATTAGACCTCGTTCCTCCTCCTAGGAAGCTCCTGTGGTAATGCAGCTCTAACCTACTGCAATAAAGCAATTTGGGATTTAGCCTGCATGAGATTCCTGTTTGCACAGAGACCTCTCACTCCCTTCTCCTGGATTTCCTCTCAGTATTTATGGATTTACTCATGTTTTGCCATTATTTGCCTTTTCCCCATTTTGCTGCTATGTGAGGAGTGTGACAGAGCTGTGGGGAGCCGGGAGCTCCCTGTGTGGAGCTTTGGGCCTGCTGCTTCCAAAGAATTCTCTTCCCAGTGTGTGTGCTGAGTTTCCTGAGAGTTTCTCTGCCATTTTACCAGTGGCCCAAATTTTACCAATGATTCCCTCTTAGAAAAGCCCTTCCTTAACCTTTATTTAAGGCAAAGATCCTGGGAATGCTGCTTGACACCTGTGGATGCCTGTGTGCTGTTAGAGTGATGTGGGTTTCTCATGGTTGTGTAAGTCAGGATGTCATTCACCTGCTGCCCTGCTATCCAGAAAACCCCATTTTCCTCCCAGTGTTGGAATGCTGGGAGTTTTCCTGATTATGTAAGTGGTCCACAGAGCTCATAAAGCCTGTTCAAATAAAGACCGTTCCACAAAGAGGTGTGGAGTGTAGATAAGAGGAAGGACAAATACAAGCAAACAACCTGGGAAAATTCAGACACTGCAATAGTTTCTTAGATGTGGTTAATGCTGGATTTTGCAATAGGCTTTGATTTCTGGTCTGGAAATGAGGAATGCTGAGCCTCCAGCTGGGATGTGTGCTTTGGTGGATTTGATACAGCAAAAAATGTATCCTGAAATTGTATTGTGCTCCATTACTCAGCTCATGGCCTGGACAAGCCAGCAGAAGGGATCCTCATCCCTGGAAGTGTCCAAGGCCAGGCTGGACAGGGATTGGAGCATCCTG